GGGGTGGGCCGCACCGTCACCCGCAAGTCCTGGCTGTGGGCGCACGACGAGCCCTGCTACTGGGTCATCACCAAGGTGAAGGCGGACTACACGGCCGAGGTAACCGCCCTCCCCACCCGGCTCCCTGAGGGGCTGCGGGGGCGCCGGCCCCCAGATCCGCTCCCCGACGCTGGCCGCCGCCGTCTCACCACTTACTGCCCTCAACAGGTTCTTGTTTTCTTTGCAGAACATGGATCACGGAAGAGCTTGGGGCTACCTGACCTTCAGAGGTAAAACCGACTTGTTTCCTACCTACGAGGTTCGGAGAGAGCATCTGTAGGCAGGACCAGAGAGAAACATGGCGGGGGGGATGGGAGGGGGGGACAGCTGCAGGAAAACCACAGCCTTCCTACTTGGGAAATTTGTTTTACTCAGATCTGCTGATAAGAAAAAAAGTTCTCCATGGTTTAGTTTCAAATGCTGGGATCTAGCCCTCACAGAATGCATTTTTAAGGAACATTATGGGAGAGCCAGTGTAGGCTGACCGTGGGGAAAGACAGTGCACTAACAGGGCATTAGATGAGGTGACAGACTATTTGGAGACTTCAAAAGCAAGACAGAATAAACACGAGGGTATTCCAGGTAAAATCATCAGTAAAACAGGAGTGATGGCAAGTAAATTTATGTTAATGGGATTTTAAATTAATGCTTGCAGTTGAGTGAGTGAATTTCCCTTTTTAAAGCAGCTTTGTATTAGGTATATGATTATCGCTTACTAGAGTTTCTGAAACATTTCTCATTCAAAGGTTTTAAAGTTGTTGGGTATTTTTAACGTTGAATTTCCTAGGGAACTTTAATTACTGTAGAGAGAAATTACTTTTGTTCCTTAGACATGGAAACTGAACCAGAGAGAGATGAAGTGACATTTTAAATTAAGAGAATTGGAATGACTTGCCTGTAGTCCTTTCAGCCTGTTTCTGTTTTGATTTCCAAGGACAGAAGGGGGATCCCATAGTATAGCAGGGAAGATACTGTCCGATCCTTTGAAAACTTCCTCTACTATTGCCTGTTGTAGCATCTTTGATACTGGAGAGCTGACACCTGCTGCATTTCCCAGAGGGAGTTTGTTGTCCATAGCGTTGCCCACCAGTGTTCATCTTTTCTCAGGCAAAACTGAAGAAGAAGTGAGAGAAATTGACAAAGTCATGTACCATGACTGGCGTATGGTGCCCAAGCATGAGGAGGAAGCCTTCAAGAAATTCATCCCAGTGCCAGAGGAGACCATTCGGTACCTTCCGTATCCACCTCTGCTCCGAGCCATGATCCTTGCGCAGTGGCAGAAAGAGGGAAAACCAATCACAGAAGAGCCAATGATTGATCTGGAGAAGATCATGGCCTCTCCCCTTCAGGGTGCAAAGAAAAAAGCTACAGAGACACCAGTATAAAGACTTGTTCTATGTTGTGAGTGTCCCACGTGCTCTCACAGTGTGTTAGAAGCACGTCCTCTTACAGAAGACCCCCTTGTCCACTGTGGTATGATGTGTCCAGGTTTCCTAGCTTTCTCTCCAGCCCTGTACAGTCACCTCATTTGAAAGATGCAGATACATTCAGATTTTTTTTTCATAATTTTGGTCTCAGTCAGCAGAAGAACCTTCTTGGTTCCCTGTATAGTCTCTGAATCCATAGCTCCTGTCATCCAGCTACAATTCTTTGGAGCACAGTTTCCTCTGCAATTTTCTGCATGAAAATTAGGTTTTTAAGAATATTTTTCAGATAATTTGGGTCCTACATAAATCACAGAAAAATGACAGAATATCATGTTATTTCACAGAGCTGTGTACAAATGTATCTACTAATGAAAATAAATGTTTTCTTATTTCTGCAGCACAGTTCTAAGAAAACCTGGTATTTTTTTCAGTGCATGGAGGTCATCATGAGGTCCAAATGCAGAGTGATTAGCTTACCAAATACAGGCACAACATTGGATTCCTCTTAACCACTCCAGAATCATGTGGGTTACTTATATATGATGGCAATGAACATCATGGGAGTAACACAACTTGACTTTGGATCCTAAGCTTATCCAAAGCTATCCATCTCTTATTATCAGAGATGGCTGTCAGGACGTAGAAATCATTTTAATTCTGGTGATGCAAAGCATACAGGCTCTTACTATTTGAAGCTAATCGCAAATTACCACCTGTTCCAGTGCAGCATGTTCTAGTGAACATTACAAAAATGCAACTCCTTAGTGCAGTTCTTGGCATTTCATTTTCTCTTGCGGTGGCTGTGGATTCTGCTGCTGTGTCAAGAACTGTTGGAGGGTCTAGTCTGGGTGTGGGTGGAGGGGGCACAAGAACTGTTCTGGTCTGTAACCCCACAGATCAGCTTTCTGCAGAAACAGCTATTTAGTTTTTTTGTCTGCTGTAGTAGGTAGTCAAGAGGTGCTGTTCCATTTGCTGCAGCATCCTGAAATAACGAGTAGCCTGAAGTGATTTACTGAGGAAAAGCAAAAACTTGGACTCTCTGCCCTGCCCAGTGTGCATGGCAGGCCTGGATGGGACAGGGGAACATGTGGCCTCAACCACCAGGAGAAAGGCCGGCATCAGGCAGGAGCAAATGAATCAACATTGGCTGCCTGGACTTCCATGGGGTTCCTCGTCAGAGGCTCCGATGGGATAAGAGGGAAGGTTTTTCTCATGAGTTAAAAGCTGGTCCTATGACAAGGCATAAAGGCAGGGAAGAGCTGGGCTCTTGTCCCTCTGTTGTAGCAGGAGCGCTGCAGGGCACATGCCAGGGCTGGTTCACTGGCTTCAGAAGCAATGGGAGAGTCCAGGGGAGGGAAAATCCAGAGTGTTGCTAAAGGCACAAATAGTTTGAGGCTGTGAGACTTCTCGCTGCAGCTGATGGAAAACAGCTTTTCTGGTTTCCATAGCATCTGCTGCTGGGTGCTGGGCTGAGCTGGTACATTACTGTCCTTACCATGATTGAGGTGCTACTGAACCAGCACACAAACCGAGGACGAGTGAGGTGGGAAAGGAGGCGTAGATGTGAGTTAGATGGGACAAGTAGGACAGTCTAGTCCTCTGTCCTGCACAGCCAGGAGCTGAACACAACACCAGCACAGGCAGTGCCCTCCCTGGTGGGGCCCTGGCCCACGGAGTCTGACTACAGTGGGCAGAGCCAAGTGCTGGTAACAGGGTCCACCAACAGCCCCAGACAAGACAAGAAATGACCCACAACCAGGGTCCACCCAGGGAACCCAGCCAGGAGCAAAAGCAGATGGAGATAATACACTGTAAGGCACAGAATGATACAACGGCTTGGGTTGGAAAGGACCTTTGAAGATCATCTGGTCCAAACCCCCAAGTCCAAGGAGTCCATCTAGGAGCAGCTGGAGACAGGCACAGCTGCAGCATGGGTCAGGCAAAGACTGAAGGCCCCAGCCAGTGCTTGGATGTCACTCCTGGGCCATGAGTGGGAAGGGCCCATGTATGCATGGGGGCCCAGGTGGGGCTGATCAGGACAATCATGGCCTGCTGGAGACCTCAAGGGCCTTAACACTTGCCGGGGAGGAGAGAAGGAGGAGGGAATTGTCTTCACACAGAGCCCTAGGCAGCCTGAGAGCCTTGTCCAGTTGTGAAGGTCCCCTTCTGGAAAGCTGCACAGCCCCAGTTTGCCATGTGTTGGATTCAATGCCTAGAACATGCTGGGAGCTCTGCCAGGACTCTCAAACCTGTGCATTAACCTCCTGGATCATTTAACAGCATGGAGGTGGTTGCTGAAGGATGACAGTAGTGAGCCTCTTCCTCAGCCATCCAGGTGGGTGCCAGACATGGCTGCACTTCACCCAGTGCCTTGCTCAAACTGCTCCTGCCCGTATCGAAGGGTGCAGCCCCAGGGGTGTGGACAGGTCCCAGGGCCTGTTTCCACACCTTGATGTTGAGGTGCTTCTACTTAACCCAGGTGGCATTGCCTGGTGTACTTCACCCTGCCTGCACAGGACCGCAGTGCAGGTGTTAGTCATGGAGCTGCTCAGGGCAGAAGCTGCTCCTGGCATAAGGAAATGTCTCCCTTGTCTTATTGCTATATACAGCCCTTGAATTAATGCAGGTCTACAAAATAAATATTAATGTGTCTAAGTGCTGCTGGGACTAAGAGGAACTTGCTTCCTGCAGTGCTGAATGTCACTGATTCCTATGGGACTTTGTGAAGTACCACCCTGTATTGACAGGGGACATCACTGGCAAATTGAGTGTTGAAAGCTGGGCCTGATGTGTTAACCCTGGCAGCTCACCTGAAGGGGGACATCATGAGGACAGCTGCAGCTAGCCAGCAGCTGAACGGTTCTCTTTTCGGCGTTTTATTTCTGACTCTGCGAGAAGCTACAGATTGCACTGTGACTTGCAGGACCAGCCCCTTCTGCTCTGATCCAGTGAGCAATCCACATCTCATTTTTTGCCACTCGGTTGCTCAATGGTGAACACTTGAGCTGCCATTCCCACCCTTTTAAGTGTCTTGCTGTTATTAAAGACTGAGCAGAAATCCCAGTGCCTTTACAGGAATAAGACACCCTGCAGTTGCTGATGTTAACACATTTATTACATACAGAACAGATATGGTTTGCTGTTTGATAGCATAGGAGACAAAGCAAGGGAATGTATTCATACAGCAGTCTCTTTACAGAATGCCATCTTCAGAACAAATAGCGGAGTTTACAGGCCTTAAGACACTTTTTAAAATCCTTTTGTAACATACAAGATACTTTACATACATCACAGTGGAGATATGACAGGGAAGTGTGCTGAAGCCAGTCAGTTCTCACCTTGCTGCCCAGCAGCCACCAAATGCCCACAGGAGCTGACAGCAGAGGCTGGTTCTACTTAGTTGTATCTACCCCTCTTAGACATGTGCTTCTCTTGGAGGAAAGCATGCACTGACCTGGAAAGGAATGTGTGGTAGAGGCCTGAGACTGGTTTCCTTATGTTACTAGGGCCCAGTGGGTGACAGGAGGCTGAGTACTGTCACTTTGACTGCTAGAGGTAAGAACATTGCAATTCTGTATTTTCCTATGATAGAGCCAAGGAACTGGGCCTACAATGGCTTTTTTTTTTCCCCTTCAGTTAGCCCAAATTAAGAAGTTTACCTGGCCCTAACCGATGAACTGTTACATGTCTGTGGAATCTGTGGTCTAAATGTTGATCTTGTTAACTTTAATGCACTCTGTGTTGTGATCCAAAGAGCTCTTCCTAGCAGAAAGCATTTTGGGAAAGTGAACGAGAAGTCTGGCATGGTCAGCGGTGCCCTGGTGAAATGTCCATGGTGAAAGGTCCCCCCACATGCAGGTGGAAGCTCCAAGCATCCCTTAGCCAAATGCCAGCCACAGAGCCTGGTGTGCCAATGGCTGGAGGACACCGTCCAGCTGGTTTCCTACCTCAGCTAAGAGTGGTGTGGGTGCATGCATCACCAGCACTGCTCACAGGCAGTGTGGGCACCAGTGTGGGTCCGTACTTTGGTGGCTGAGGCCTCTGTTCTCCACAGATGTCCTCTTGCCCCAGCCTTTTCTGAACTGTGGATCCAAAAATCGTTTCAGTGCTGCTGCATCAGGACAGATGCCACATGTTAGAGCTTACCCTGGGAATACTGCATCCCTGCAGTACATGAGTAGCTTTAGACCACAAGCCTTGGGGGCAGCCTGGTCCATGGCAAGAAGCACAGGACACAGCTGGGAGCTTCCCAGAAGATGGAGGCTTCCCCCCGCTGCCCCCATAACACCGCACTGGCACAAGGACATCCCTATGAACCCCAGAGTGCCACACAGCTCAGGGAAAAAACAACATGACAACCAGGAGTTTCCAAATTCATCACTAATAGTTATTATTATATTATAGAGCTACTTGCTCTGGTCCTGCACATCCATGGGGCAGCGTTCAAAGGAAACAGAACCTGTCCCTGTGGAGACAGGACTGTTTCCACTGTAAGAAAGGGAGGACAAACCATTGCCTCTGCATCTGGAGCTGCCATGTTCTGCATCTGGAGCTCAAAACTGCTCTCCCTGGCCCCATTCTTTGCTGCGTCTCTTGTAAGCAGGATGCAAATTTGCAATCCCTCAACACTGCTTACACAAGGAGGGCCATCAGAATTTTTCTCGGGGGTTGTCAGTTCTTTTCAGGAGTCAGAAATTTCCAGCTTTTCAAACTACTTGGTAACAGTCAGTACTTGTGATGTTAGGTAAAAGAGGTTGAGAGATCTAGCCTCAATTCCTTTTTCTGTGTGACCTCTGGTGAGACGCAGCCTTTCTATACCTTGACTGCACAGTCTTTCCTAACCGACAGCCACAGTTGTGAAGGAAAACAGCTGTCTCCTCCAGCAGTTCCCAGGATGGAGACATAGCCATGAGTCAAGGTAATCTCAATGTGTTAATGCAGAATTCAAAGCAGACCAACATCATCTGCCCTCACCTGTGTTTTATAAGCCAACAAATGCTATGCAGAGATAGCTTTCTCCTGAACCTTTCAGAATGAACTCAAGAGTTCTTGTCTGCCTGGCATTTTTGGAAGGGGGAGTTAAAAGTAATGCTGCCTTTTCTGCTCTTAAAAATGCAAGGTTCCACTACCCCTTTGCTACCAAAGTTTCCAAAGGCCCTGTGGCCTCCATGATCAAACACCTGTCTCCCATCTGAGGCTACCAAACAATCCTCTCTGGACACACACAGTCACCCAGCACACAACTACTGAGACAGCAGCAGCAGCAGAGGAGACTTTCCGTCTGCAAGTATGGAGGATGTGTTCCCCACAGTAATGGCACTGCTGCCTTCTCCAGCCAAACAGCAGAAGTGCTGCCCAAACCCTGACACTCCTTTTTATTGAGGGTTCCTTGGACCTGGCTGCTCTCAGCCCATGGGACATTATTCTGTGCTTAAGGGTGGATAAGGTGGACAGTCCACTGGTGAACTAGAAAGGATTTCTGCTAGGGTGCTGTAGAAGTTGTGATTCACCATCACTGCTTTGGGAAGGGATGTCAGGGGGACATACTTCTCATGCAGGTGGGAGTGAGGCAACCTGCCAGAGAACCTGGAGCCACCACCCATCCAGCTGCCAGCTCCCAAGCGCTGGGCAAAGGCTTTGCACAGTTCTAGCTCCAAGCTTCACTTCATTGATGCACTGCCATTTCTCTCCTTGTAGATGCCAGCTCCAGAGCAGAACAATAATCCAACCACGCAGAAAGCGCACGGGCCCAAGATAAAAGCTGCAAGTTCAGAGGTTAGAAGGGGGTCACAGTCCGAGGCAGGAGCCGTTGCAGTTGTCTGGGGTCGGTTTCCAGCAGTAGGTAAAATGCAGGCGTTCTGTATGTACATCTTGGCATTCAGGCAGGAGGAGGGACACTTACATTGGTAGGAAAGGAGAAATTCTCACTCAGGAATGTATGATACCTGCCACACAATAATGTGGCTCCTTTCAGCCTTGGAAAGTACTGGCTTCACCTGGGTGGCATCTCCTGCATTCTCCTCTGTCTCATCATCTTCTCCATCCCCTGAAGAGAGAAAACAGAGAGTAAAAAAGGCAAGAAAGAAAATCCCAAATTGCAGTGCTCTGGAATGCTTCCAAAGAGGTTAATATCCCTGTTACAGTCTCGGCAGTCTGATGACAGCATGAGCTGAGACCTTCCTTTATGCCTGGAGAACATTTAGCAACACGATGCTTTTCTGAAGCAGGACTGTATGAATGGAACAAACTGTCTCCAGCAGAAGGAAAAAAATCACCCTTCCTTTTGGGGAAGCCAGTGTTTACAACACAGAGCGCCCTCGAGCAGCACAGGTGACCACAGTGGGGCAGCAATGTTTGGAGCCAGTGACACAGATTGTTTTATTCTTTCCAGGGCCATTAATGCAGACTGCATGGCACTGCAGGCACCGGCAGGGGAAGGGTTTGGCAGCCTTGTGCTGTGCAAGGAAAATGCTTGCTATATGCCTCACAGCCAGAGGCAGGAGAAACAGAGAGCATTGCTTTTCAGATTTCACTCCCCACAGCAGTGATCCCTCTCTCCATGACCACGGCCCTGCACCCCCTCCCATTCCAGATGCCTCCCACCACAGGCACTCACCGATCCGGAAATCAATGTACCCTTCTCCTCCACTCAGCACCAGGACGTTCTTCAGCTTCTGCCCCTCAGTCTCTGTGGCTGCTGTGCTGGGATTCTCCGAAGGGCTGTCCAACACACTCCCATTCAGGGTTGCTAGGACATTGCCTGGGAGAGGACAGAGGTGCTGTCAGTGCCTCTGCTCAGACCCCGTGCAGTTAACACACACATACACACACACACACACACACACAAAGACAACTGGGCAGGCCAATTCCTTCTGCTGGTGAAATCTGTAAGTCACTGCAATTTAAATTACTGATATCTGAGCCACAGTGATCTGCAAGCACTAGAAATGGCATGGACAGCCATCTGCTGCAGATCAGCTCAAGCTCCTGTTGCAGAATGGATGGCAGGACAAGACCCACACAAGGAAGGGCTGTGCTCATCCTTACCTGGCACAGAGACAAAGAACTTGACAGCATCACGGTGGCCATGGAAACAGAGCTGTGCCTGAGCCATGGAGCAGTAGGGAATGAAACTGCTGGCAGATTTGTCACTGTTGTCATCACCGTACACGTGGATGACCCCACCAGAACGGCTGCCCTCTCCAGAGGTTGGTGAGGTCTTGTTGGCTGGGAACAGGGAAGAGAAATATTGTCAGCAATGGCTTTGAGTCCCATTTACAGAAGGGACTCAATCAAAGAGAAAATGCATGAGCCATGAAGGAAAACCTTTAAAGGTGCAGGTCTCTTTAAAGGTCTTGTGTATGTGATGGAGGAGACCACACTAGTCTATACAGTCCCTCTCTCTTAAGCTGGTAACAATCCACTCATGATAACAAACGACATTTTCTCACCAAATCTAGTATTTGGCTACTAATGAGGCACACATCCCTGCAGGTGCTGGGCAAGAGTGACCCTGGGTCAAGCTAGACAAGGTCTCTGAGGTGTCCCAGTGAAGCCTCTTCACCAGCAGCAATCCTGTCGAGGCTCCAGAAATCACCTACTGTCCTAGGATCAACCTTGGTCTTTTGTACCTGGCAGGGCATCCAAAGGTGTCCACTGTACCCATGAGAAATTAAGGGCACCTGGAGAATTACTGCTGTTTTCTGGATTGGTGAAGTTGCTTGGTTTCCAAGTTAAGTCCTTCTTTCATGCCAAGCCGTGAGCACACAGGCTGCCGAAAGCAGTCTCTGGGTCTGGTGAAGGCCTCTCAGCCCAGTAAATGTCACAGCAGTGGACTGAGGTCCTTCCTTAGTCCTTGATTTAGCTGTGACACCAGAAGATTGGCTACTCAAGTAACAAACATCTGAAAGACGTTCACCACCATCCACAGCTTCTAAGGATTTCAAGGTGGGCTCAGGAGCCTGCATCTTTCATGTCCAGGCTCCGAGAATGTGAATGCTTCCACTCATGAAGGAACAGAGACCAGTGCTCAGAGCTCAGGATGGGAGATGCTTCCCTTCTGCATGTACCCACATCAGTAAAACAGAAACAGCACTAAAATCAGAAGGCTTTCACTTTCTGTGAGAAAACTGAATTGCTTGCTTACTTATCTGTAGTTCTGTATTTTGGCTTGGGCTGGATTTCAATTATTAAGTGACTTGGACAAAGGAGACTTTTGCCTATCAGGCTCAAGCCAGGATGGCGAGACAAGTTCAAATATTTTGATGGAAGAATGAGAATCAGTGTGTGCAGGGGTAAGGTCCCCAAGACAAAGGTTCTCTGCATGTCTGTGCTTTGGTTTGCTGTGAGCAGCTATAACTGGATGAACTCATCTAATTGACAGACAGGGCTGGCACTAGAACTTCTTCTCACTCAGTATCTGGCTTCTTACTGCAACCAGTATCAGATGCTTTAAAAAGAGGAGACACACATTGGTAATGCTTATGGACAGCCACAGAAATGTCTTACAATAAGAAAAAAATACTCCTTTCTGACCCTGGAGAGGCTAAAGTAAGCAAAAATTTGAACTCAGACCCTGCCTTAACTGGCACAAAACCAAACAATTCTTAATGTTTATCGAAGTCCCCTCTCATTAAAAGTCTTGGTTGATTACTTCCAGCTGGCAGGTGCCAGAGCACCTGCTGCCATTGGCCTGGAACTGATGAGAGAAGCATCCTTGGAAAACCAAGGATGACCAAGGAAGACCTTGGAAGAAGAGTCTACTCCTGCTTCCTGGAATTCTCTGACTGAATGAACCTTTACAGTCCCCCTCTCAAACCTGGCCTACCACAATAAGGGAACTACTGATGAAGAATAAAGTACTCTTGACACAAAAAAAAACAGACGGATGGCAGATGAGAGGATGAAAATGTTTTTAGCCATGGGAAATGAGGATATTTACATTACTGTCTCTGGTTGCTTTTCTCAGATCAACTTAAAATGAAAGAGTGACGAGGAAAAATGGATGGAGAGAGCTGAATGGCAGGATGGAAGGGTGGGAAAGTGACTGTAAAGGTGAATGGGTGCAAAAGGAGTGAAAGCTGAAGGAAGGAGGCAATGGACTTACCCCGGAGCCCAAGGAGTTGGCCTCGGTGGAGGACTACAGCTAGGCACAGGCAAGGAGTGGGAACACAGATGGGCATGGGAAGAGACAGGCAGGATGGGAGAGAAGAAAAAGGTGATTACTGGGAGAAAATTCAGGGAGCAACAGAAATGTACAAAATCTAGAGAAACTGCAACAGCAGCTACAGGCTCAGATAAGTTTATACCAACACTGTTCTTGCTCACTTTGCTCTTATCTTACAAGGACAAATGTAGTATCTGAGATGGGAGAGGAATCATGGTCACAAGGATCCATTGCTAAAGTTTCTAGTGAGACCTTACTGCTTACCACATTTTTACAGAAACACCAAAAGATAATGCAACTGGTTTACAACAGGGAACAAGTTTAACTTAGAATTAGGAGAGCAGCCCCAAGAAAGAATGGGCTATAAAACAGGGATTCAGAAATGAGACCGAGATTGCAATGCACAAAGATAACTGTGTCACTGGCTTCCTGGTGTCAGCCCTGGGCGTATCCAGCTCCACCAGCCTTGGAGGAGACTGTCTCAGCCCCGACTTCCAGGAGGATTACAACAGGTTTGCTCCTCTTATACAAGAGCCATTTGCTTCTCAGGTTTCCTGCTAGCAGTGGTGAGAAAATGTAAATTTGGTTGCTTTCTGTTGAAAGGAACTGCACCTACTCCGGCATTACAATCTGGAAGAGACCTTCAAAATTAGATGCTGACTGGCAGGTACAGAACAGGATTTACTAAGAGCTTCAAATAAACTTCCAGCTCTAGAGATGCACATATTAACTACTACTGCTGGGTCTCCTCACCAGGTTGGATTTGGCGTAGGATACTGATTTCTACTTGACTGATAAAGCTGAACCCTAATTTGAGTAAATGAAGCTTTTCTAAGGTGAGTTTCTGGAAAATACTGTTATGGAGCCATTCAGATGTCTATGCCAAAACAAAATTTCCAGGGAGATCTTCCTGGTGACTTCTCATACCATGGCCTCCTTTTGGAGACTTACTACAATTCCCAAAGCTTTGTTTCACCTGCTTTCCAGTAGCTACATAATCAGTTCACATCAGCCTGCTCTGTCAAGGTCATGCTCAAAAAAGAAGACTGTACGGATGGTAGAGATGTCATTGGTCCCCCAAGAAGGAAATGGCCTCAACTGAACTGAAAGGGACAATAATAAATACCTACTGGGTTTTAAACACGTTAAATCCATTCAACCGAACACTTAATTCCTTAATATGGAAGAGTTAAACCAAGTTCAGGGTTGCTCATACTCAGGGCTCTTTTCTCTGAACACTGCTATGATCAAAGGTGTGTCAGGTTCAGAGTAAAAATGTCCAGAAAGTATTAAGCCTGCCAGAGTCATCCACCATGCTGCACAAATAACACTCAAAAGTGTTCTTTTTTTAGGGGGGGGGAATGCAGAAGTATCTCCAATAAATGTCACTTACTCTCAGTCAATGGAATGGAGATGACGACACCGTTCCCTGTCCCTACCCAGAGGCGGTTGCCAGCAATGAGCAGGGCTGTAATCCGCACAAACGAGAACCCCAGCTTTCCAGTGCCTAGTAAGCATGCATAAGAATTGGAGAGTCAGTTATGACTTTGGGCAAGGTCTGCTAATGAATTTTGACTTATCTCTGGTCTCAGTAAGCAACAGACCATTTACTGACAGTCCCTACTGCCTCACCTAGCATTTTGCTGACGTAAGGCTCAATGTCAACATCTTGCAGATGTTGATGGCTGTGGGCATGGTAAAGTCTCAGAGTGGAGTCCAGGCGGATAGAAACCCATACTCCATCTCCAATCCATGCCAGCTGTCGCACCTGACTCTCCCGCCGAGGGTGGGCATCAAAGGATTTCTGAAATGCCAAATAGATGGACCAATGTGAGTTCACAAAAGGCTTACAGTTATCTACACATAGACTCCCTTTTCCTCAACTGAGATCACTTGTTTGGGTTTCAAAAGTCTTGGAGAAAATGTGTTAATGCCAGCTGACCTCCAAAGTTCACTACAGTATACAGAAAATCCCTCGCTTGAAATGATGAGTTATATAGCAGCTGTACAGAGATTGTGGTCTTTGCAGACCACTTCAGGAGCAAGAACATTTAGAAACCAAGAGCTTTCAATATGCCTGGTAGAAAAGGAAAACACACAACTCCAGTATAAATTCCAAAGGTCAAACTGCCTTGGCTCACTGATGTGAACTTCAGATTCAGCGCTTCTTCTCCCTCTGATTAGAATGATTCCAAGCACTGTTAAACAGGTTTGTACCAACACCACTGTATTGAATTTCAACCAAAAGGTTCTAAACATCATTTTTTGATTAGGCAAGTGGGATTACTGGGGCTTGCTAACTGTACTCTTCCTTTGTGCCACAATGCCTACAGATGGAGAAGTCTTAGACCATCTACGAAGGGCAGCTGTAAAGCACCCACGGACATTTGTACAGTATGTGGCCTCATGGACTCACTAGTAAAGGCAAAGAAAGTGCTAAGGATTTAAGCTCTGCAAAGGGAGATGAAGGAATAAATACCCCCCTGACAGACTGGGTGATAACATGACTTGGACTGACAGTTTGGGTCCTACAGTCAGCAATGACAATACAAAGGTTCTGCCTTTCCATACACTGCAGCAGAAAACAGCTGTTAAGAATAAATACAACACAAGCATGTGCACGCATACACACACATTTGCTCTCTTACCTCAATCTGCATTGTCTTAGGCTGGATAACATGGATTTTGTTCTTGTAGCCACACCAGACTCTATCATACACAACAGCCATGCAGCGGATGGAATGGTGAGTGTGACCAAGGTCCATTAGGTGGTAATTACTGAGATCCCACTGACCATCTAAGGTGAAAAACAAGCGTGGAAAGAGGCATCTCCTTCATGACACATCAGTATACAATAGAATCGTCTACCTTTTCATGTACATCTAGGAATACAGGCTTAACTAATACTCAAATGCTCATTTTGCTTATGTCTGTGAACTTCCCATGAATCCACATGTCATGGTTTAACCCCAGCTAGCAACCAGGCCCCACACAGCTGCTCGCTCTCTCCCCCCAGTGGGAGGGGGGAGAGAATTGGAAGAGTAGAAGTGAGAACACTTTTGGGTTCAGATAAAGACAGTTTAATAGTTAAAGCAAAAGCCGTGCACACAAGCAAAGCAAAACAAGGAATTCATTCACTACTTCCCATCGGCAGGCAGGTGTTCAGCCTCCTCCACCATGCATAACAGTTACTTGGGAAGACAAACACCATCACTCTGAACATCCCCCCTTCCTTCTTCTTCCCCCAGCTTTATATGCTGAGCATGACGTCATATGGTACAGAATATCCCTTTGGTCAGCTGGGGTCAGCTGTCCCAGCTTTGTCCCATACCAACTTCTTGTGTAAACCCAGCCTACTTCACTGGTAGGGTGGTATGAGGGGCAGAAAAGGCCTTGACTTTGTGTAAGCACAGCTCGACAGTAACTAAAACATCCCTGTGTTATCAACACTGTTTCCAGCACAAATCCAAAACATAGACCCATACTAAGCTACTATGAAGAAAATTAACTCTATCCCAGCCAAAACCAGCACACCACAATACTACTTTGGACACAGCTTTATACTTACAAAACACATGACAGTAAAGTTTAGTTTGGTGGGCTGAAAGCTCTCCAAATCAGGCTAATTTAAACATCCTTTTATTGTAATGAAGTGAACAGGCTTCTCTAACAAGTACAACAAAAACAGCACAGGAAGAAAACAGCCTAACAAGACTATGCAGAAACTTAAAAGGAAATGGACTGTACAGTCTTTGTGGTGAGGCTTCCTCATATCACAGACAACATAATTTCCCCAAAGTGTCAAATCCAGGATAAGGAATCAACCTCCATTCTCTCATGCTTATTTTGTAACTAACCAGGCAGATACTGTGTCCTTCACAGACAGGTGGCCTCTATGTCATGAAGCCTTATCCTATTTCTGACAGGAACAAATTTATGTGTCAGTGGTCAGGCTTGAACTCATTACAAAGTCTGAATCAAAATTTAGATTGCATAAAACCAGAAATCTCTGTATTTCAGCTTGCTGGATAAACTGCTACTCAATGAATAACTAAGTTCTTAACATGCAAACATTAGTCACAGTTAGCAAATTCCCATGTGTATTCAGGTATGAGCACAGCTCAGAAACTGCTCAAGTCATAGGGAAGCAAAACCTACAACAGTGAAGAGGACAAGAAATACAGAATTCAAAAAATATCTTGAAGTGACAAGATTAAGGCACGTCACATTACTCAGACATCTCTTTTTTGCAACAAGAAAAACTGACCAAGTGTAATGCAAAGGTGCCATTTGTTTGGAATTTCCAGACTTCCAGAGAATCCCAGCTCTGCCTGCTCTGTATGCAGTGATCAATTCCACTGCTTATACAGAGTCCAGCTGCTCCGGGAAGTGGCAGGCCTATGTGCTACTGCACAGATGATCTGCTCAGGTACAGCCTGAGCTGTGTGGAGCTCCCTGTGCATGCCCTGTTACAGCTGATTTGTGAATGCACAGTAACACTGATATGGCCCAAATGCATTAAACTTACCAAGCATGCCTCAAACAACTGCACAGCATATGTAGTCCTAAAAGTGTTGTATTTACTCCATACGTGCTACACAGTGCACACACATTTTTGTTCAGAAAAGCTCAGGAAATGGTGTTAAGTATGCCTTAGATGTTTTAGGATAAGGATTACATGTGTATAACAGCTATACATTTTAACTGTATGTTTGTACTCTGGCAAGCCAGCACCTTTCCTTCTCAACTCAGAATAGCATTTAACCCATTGCTAGTCTTTCGGCCACGTGTGGTTTTCTTTTATTACATTGATTCTTACCTTCTCCTCGGTGGAATATGGCTAGTGTTCCATCTGCCAGAGCAACAAGGACTCTCCCTTTTACATGCCTGAAATCACAGAAAAGTAAATACTTAGAAAAATCTGTAGAATTAAGTGACTAACAAATCTTTCCTGACATCCACGCACACCATCTTTATGTTCTCTCTACAATTCCTATTCAGTTTAGCACTTGTGGGAACATCCTGCAAGGGACAAGGGTCATACCTCTTACCTTCTTTGTAGTAAGATCATCCATAAATTTCCTGTTGAGGTTAACTTCTCCTTCACACTACAAACTCCATCAATTTCAACAAATTCCAGCTAATTTACACTTCAGTGAAATTTTGTCTTTCTCCTCCCCCCTTATTTCCTCCTGATACTGTTAATCTCATTTAGTATCTTGTTCATTGAATTGGGTCAGGTCTGCAGTTGAGCAGGAAAATGGCTCAGTGTGAGGCTTTCCAATAACAAAAATTTTAGGAAACTTTCCTCACAAACCAATGAACTTAGAAGAGCAAAGAAAAAGATGACTGACAAAGAGCTGCTACTTCTAAAATATCGTTTAGGCACTGAACCTTCTCCTTCAGCATTCCTTGCCACGCACACTTACACTAGACTCAGTACAGAGTCCTTCAGCTTTATCGAGTGCAGACACTTCTTCCAGTTGGAAACAGCTGAGTGCACATAGAGCCTGTGAGAAAGGACAAATTGTAGAGGGTTAGCAGCAAGGCCCCACACCTTCAGCCTGAGTAGGCTTGAGTCTTTTCTTCTGGTAGGAAAGGTGGAGGTTAGGTAAGAAAGTGAGGTTAAATTCCTGTGTCCATGATGAGCTGAGGGCTCAGAACAACAATGAGCAATGAAAACCTACTCCAGAAACAAGTAGTGAATTAAAGGTGTGGGGACATGAAAAGTGGAGCCTAGAGGAGAACAGAGGTGACAGAGGGATCTGCCAGCCCAAGGGAAACCTACCAGCCGTTCTGTGCTCCCAGCCACATGGTGGGGGCAGCACTGGTGCAAGACCCAGCAGCATCCCCATTCAACTCCTGATCTGGCAGTGTTGTGCTTGACTCTGTCTTCAGCTGCCCATTCTCCCTGAAGAGGCACAATAACGTTTGTTAGAGGCTTTAGTAGCAGCAATGCACAGAATGCCCATCTACACTCACAGTCTGGCATTCACAAGGAGATATGGACACTTGTATACACAAATCACTTCCTTCTCTTCAGTGTTTTTTAATTGCTTGATTTCTGAATCTGCAATTTGCAAAACTTCCTTTTTTCCCCACCAATACAAGTAGCAAGTACTTCAAATCTACAGAACTTAACTTAGTGTTTGGAAGTACTATTACATAAACACTATTTTCTCTGTTCATTTCCAACTTAGAACAACTTGGTCATTTAGGAACAATTCTATCCAAGACTCCTCAGGCCATAACATCAGACTCAATTGTCTTAAGAATTTTTGGTTGGTGAATATGCTTTCTTCGTTATCTTTACAGCACATTAAAGGTATTACTAGAATAAATCAATCATCATTTTTACACATGAATCAATAAGCTCCTTCAGTAAGAACATTAAGTGTACATGTACTTTGGAAGATCTGTCTTAACAGCAGGTCTAAATTCATATTGAGAGATCACATATTTGCACTTAAACAGCTGACACAGTCTGCTGCAGGCTGAACCATGTTTATTTTCATTTCATTTCTTTCTCTCCCTATCATCCCATCTGTAGTACTATTTGGGCACAAAACTGAAAAAAGTTTGACACTTTATCAGAAGATCAGGCTGGTTCTCATATCAAAAAGCTTATGAAAACAGAGCTGATAAATAACTGAACTGACTCTTTGGCCCCAGACTGCCTACCCGTTCTGCCTAAGAGGTGCCGGTGCAGGGACTGGATCTGTAAACACATGCTCCGTGAGGGGCCCAGGCCGGGCCTGAGCAGGCTCTCCCTCACTTGTACCATTCTCTGGTACCTCCGTAGCTTCTGTTGCCTCCTCAGTAGACTGGGACTGGTTGATCTTCCCATTGCAGACAGCAGCCACCTCATCTAAAAGACAAAGTGTGAGATGTACTGGAGAATGAGCTGGTAAGTTACCTATACAGAAATCAGGCTGTGCCAAATTCAATCCAGCCCTGAGCCTGCACCACAGACAGCAGCTCATCCAGTGTTTTCTGCTTGGATGGGGAACAGAGGCTATTTTAAATTGAGGCACAATCTGTGACTAGCAAAACATCAGAAGTTCTCCAGGGCTGCCCACTGCAGTATAGAGTCAGCAAGGGCATCACTATGGTTTTCATATGGACTTAACTGACTTCACAAGAAGACATGGTTCAGAGCTGAAAGCAATGACAACAGAAGCAGTTGTAGCAGGGCAAACATTATCACCTGTCCAAAATACTCTGGTATATGACCCTTGCAACCAGGCTGCAGGATGTGGATCACTCAGAGAGAAAAGGAGCACTCTAAAGAGAAATGTACCAAAAGGGCCTTTGGTCTTCCTGTACCACATTATGAAACTTCTTGAGGCCTCTGAAGTACTTAACTCAGGACAGGAGGATGCAGCTCTCAGACCGTAAGCTCATATGGGACTAGCTATAATTGGACTGCCATTCAGTTTTATGTCCCAAAACTCACTCTGTCCCTTGTCCAGCACAGGTGTGTCACCACGCGAGGAACAGTTGCTTCGTGGCACATTGCAGCGGGTCGCACAGCCCACCAGAGTGATTCCTGCCAAGACACCATCTGTTCCAGACGACTCTTCAGGATTTACATCTCCCTCCAGAAAGATCTCGCCTGGAGGATAATCACTCTCACTGGCCGCTGAAGGGCAAAGAACAGATTCTCCCATAAATCTAGCTGTCACTGCTGGTTTAAATTTAGCAGTACTCCTGAGGTAACCATCAGTCAACATCATGGTGAATCCCCTCATCCCTAGCATCAACATCCAGGCCAGCTACAGAGCCCTCCCAAACCTGGGCAAGGCTCACTCTTGCTCCCAAGAACCATCCTTTACGTGCCAAAGGAACCACTTCATAAAGGTTCAACAGTGAGGGATCTCCATGGAAAGGTACTACAAGAAGGCAAGATCTGAGTTACAGTTTTCAGGGACAATTCCAGAATGCAGCAGCGTCCATGGGTTATTCTGAAGTGAGGACGCTACGTTTGTGACTCCTCAGTGGGGCAGGTGACCCTGTGCAGATCACAGCCAGTGCCTGGGCTCCACTTACCAGGGATGCTGGAGATGCAGAGCACATGAGCGTTGCAGACAGTGAACTGGTCCACCACTGTGCCAGGCTGATTGGCATCAATAATTACAACTTTACTTGTTGACAGCGTACTGGTGAGGATCCAGACACGACTGGACGTGGCATCCATTTCATGAAGCTCCTTTGCCTTCAGGAGAACAATCACACAGGCAGAATCAGTGCTCCTCTCAGATCAGACTGAGTGTATTAGTGCTTGGCAACATTTACTCACGCAAAGGCCACAATGCCGGCCTCCAAGAGCCAAGTCTTCCTAGCTGATGCAAATAAACAATATGGGCTAAGCAAATTTCGTTCACATTGCTGCACTAGTATCTGGAACACTGGCCAAAGGGCCTATCTGGCTCCCTAGGGTAAGAGGAGTTTGGCCATTAATTTCTCTTCTGAGATGTCTGACTAATGTATCACCAAACATTCACTTTAGACAGAACACCATGGAGCTGGGATGCACTCAACCTACCAGCTTAAATAAGCTGATCTTAGAAGACTATAAGGCAGCAGTGCAAGACAGCTGGGGGAAAAAAACCCCACGAACCAGAAAGGATAAAACATTCTATTATTATCTGCAAATTACAGCTTGGTTCTTAAAAAAAAACCCAAACCCTTAAGACTATTAAAAAACAGAGCTGGAATAGATCTCAAGAGCTTCAACTTCTGAACCAAAGGGACTCATGGACTCTCCTATGTCTATGCTCTTTTTAACAAAGCTTTGCCTGAATTTCTTTATTTGTTTTTTAATTTACAGTGATGAGGACTCCATAATCTTCCTAGCAATCTCATCAAGTACTTAATTACCCTTATTATTAGGATTTTTTTCAAAATTACAAACATTTCAAAAGCAGAATTTGGAAAATTTTATCCCAAACCACACAGAAAGTTACTGAAGAGCCAGAACACCACAACCACAAATGATGCCTCAGAAGTACAAGTTAGAGCATTATATAGCATGGTACAAAGGTATTGAGAGAGGCGGGCATGTCAGGGATGGAATGAGAAAAAACACCAGAGGGGAAAAAAAAAATCCATTTTCTTTTCTGACCTTTTTCTTTTCAGGAGATGTATGGTTACTTTTGTTGTTGTCTCCTTCCACTTCCCTATCACAGGTGAGGGGATCACGTCCAGGATCTAGTTTCTGCCCATTCCCAGGCTCCTGCTCCAAAGGTCTCCATCCTGTGAGGTTGACTCCAGCTGCACACCACAGCTAAGTAACAGAAACAGGAATCTTAAACTAAGAATTCTGGAGGCTCCAGGGTCTCTTGAAATTCAGGCACCTTTGTAGAGAACTGTGGACACATGTCAACCACCTAAAATATTCAGTTGGAAATAAAAGATCTTGTTGATTTCTACTAGAAGACATAGTCAGATTTGATGGAGGTAGGATAAAGATTCTCTGAAACCTAACAAAAATCACTGTTTTTTAACAGATGTTCAACAGATTTAAAGAAAATAAAGATAATAAATCAGGTGCATAACTGAAAACAGGCTTCTGAAATGTCCTCAGTTTTTCTGACTCTGGGGTTCCTAAGTCATTGTAGCAAAGCAAGAAGGACATGGCAGATGTTCCTAGCTCAGGGTACAATAAGCATGACTGCTTAACCAAAATTGACAGTGACTGCTTGGCTGAGGATATGCATTCAGTGCACTCCTGTTCCCTAGTCCCCCTCGCACCCCTTGCACTCTTCTGCTTCCTCACACACTCCTTTGCTCAAAAATCAGTGTTTGTCTGATCTCAGAGAGCTATTTAAAGAACTAAGACAGCAAAAAATGAAGTTAAAAAAAAAAAAAGGAAAAAAAATCTGCTGGTTTAGCTCCCTACTTAACAAATGTAGAGGGAAACAAGCACACTGCATATTTGCTGAAATCCAATTTAGCTAACCTCCTATGAGCTATTTCCAGGTAGTTTTTTAGCAGAATGCTGGGAACAGGACTACAGAAACAAATACTGGATTTATCCAAAATCATAAAGGAAAGATGCTGAACTGAGTATTATCCAAAGATCACACCAACCTTCTAGAAACAACAGTGTTAAGAATTTTCTTACAACTTAACATCAGAATGACATCTAAAAATCAGCTCTGAATGAAGTTCATGACAAACTGCCTATTTCAAAACAACTAGTTATAGCAGATAAATGTGCTACCTGCAGAAAGATGACCATGTATTCTCACCCACAATTCTACTCAAAATATTCTAGTCTTGATAGACATAGCTTCACAAAAATCTGCTCTAGATAATTTTGGCCTATTACCAAATTACCTATTAATCTTGGTCAACAGTGGAATCTAAAACAGGGTGATGAAATGCATTTTTACTTTCACCTGCTCGTTTTCATAAATTTTTATATTGTTTTGTATTACAGCGTCTTAGCAAAAGCCTTTTAAGCATAAAATGTTGTTGATATAAGTTGTCTCAGAAAAGCATAAGATGTAAGACAGAAGCATGGGACCTGGCAACCAGAATCAGCTGAGAATTATGTCCTTACAGAGAGAAGTACTTTTCCCTACCT